GTCATATGGTACCTATTAAAATTGGGTGTAATTGCACATGCAACAGCTCTCGTGTCTTCTATGTGCACTATGTTAACTTATTACAATTGGAGGAATAGTTTCCTATTGTCTGTCTTTAATTTGGGAAATTTGTCCCTTTTGTATTCTTTTAGTAGCTGTTGGTGTATTGCCTTGATTCTTAGGGGCAGAGCCATGTATAACAAAGTTGGGTCAAGTGACCCCACTGGAAATTTGTAAATCTGAAATTATTATTCAGACTTTTTGAAAATTTTATTTTAAATGAGGTCAATCTTGAACTAATTTCATAAAGCATAGAGATTAATATATAATCATGTTACCCCTTTTTTCCTTCTAATATTTTAGTTATTCTTTTTCATTTTCTTCTTTCTTTGAATTCTTTTGTAGATGTTCATGTGTTACCTACCTTATACGTCACTATTATCCTAATATCCAAGGAGATGATTGCGGCATTATGTGACTGTTTAGGAGAGGATTTGCGCTTATATTTAAAAAATGTGGAAAAAAAAAAAAGAGGAGAACTTGTGGCATTAAAAAGGAATTGTCAACAAACACAGTGGGTGTTGTTTTCTTCAACTAAATTAACTAAACAAACCTTATGTTCAAAGGATATATCTGAATTAAATTTGTTCAAAATTTTAGTGAAGGAAAATATTATACATTTGTGATTTATGGAATCAATTGTTTAACTTTATTAGCATTTATGGAATTTTAGTATTAGTGATGCAAGCGGTCAGTAATTAGATTTTTGTAAAAATTAACTATTGTGGTTTTTGCTTTCATTATGGTATTTGTAATTTGGTAACTATAAATTACTTGATCCAGTTTTGTGTATTACACGAGTTTATTAGTGTACATTATGTATAATTGAAGGTTGATATTAGTGGTGAATTGTTTAATGGACATTTCTGGCTCCGCAATGGTTGATTCTGCACTAATATGGAAAAGAATCCTGTTTTTGTGAACTTGATGATTATCTAACAGCACACTCCATTTTCGATTTGTCTTGATTTGCCAGTTGAGCTGCCTTGAGTATTTATATCATTCTCTCTAAGTTATTTGTGGATATTGAGTTTTTAATCTATCAATTCATCTGTGATGGATATATACAAACTAGCCATGCTATAGCTACCTCTCTTAATGTTACACATGAAGAAGTTATTGAAACTGAATGACTTTCATTAGATTGAAAACTCAAAGATACAGTACGTTATATACACTCCACATGTTTACAAAATATCTAACGAAAATATCTACCTAACTCACTCTATTACAGCAAGCTGAACTAACACTTGACTTGTTTAGTTTGCAGGACAACATATCTCTAGTCTGGTCTTGGATTGTTGCTGAGTCTTGATTGGTTACTATAACTGTACAAACATCTTATTCCTATGGGGACATCATGTTGCTTGCAAAAGCTTCCGAGTCCAAATAGGTCACTTTTCGTGCTCCATGTGTTTTGACTTTTATAGTTTGAACATTCTATGAAGTGCTAACTTTCAGCTCTTAAACTTAATTTGATGGCCTTTTTTTGCGATGGACCAAGAATATTTGATGCAGCTGCAATGATGGAATTTACATTGTCTCCTTGGGATTTCATAATGTATTTAGGCGTAGGTCTTGAAACACACCATTTAACGCTTATAATTCCTCTCTTCCAAAATAAATAAGTTGAATTAATGTTTTTATTAATGACTATTGATTAATCTATATATTACTGAATGGAGGAAGGAACACAGATTAATTTGAAAAAATAGAGGTGAAAAACGCAGCAGAGAAGTCTTGAAAAAACTAATGTGCTAGTAAAAGGTCTTGTATTCCTTTAGTTCTAGCAAGGAGATTTTTCCGTCTCAACTGGAGTCTTGAAACAAATCTTTAAAATGTAAATATAGTATTACTTCTATCTATATTAATTGGTTTCTTTTCTATGGTTTTAGTAAACAATGAATTGTTAACTAATGGAGCATGAAAAAATAAAGTACCCTGGAAAAGAAATTTAAGGTCGTAATTTTGTGGGAAGAAGAGTATACATTATGTTGATGTTTGGTGCATCATAGCACTTGACATGTACACCTTGAATCTTTAGTGAAGATGAAGATAAGCCAAATCAAGCAATGTATCTGGCTGTCCAAATTCTTAAGCATAGTTCTAGCTGCTTAATCTTGGCTGGTGAGGAGTAGATTGTTTTCAAACTTGGCATGTTGTATGGTTTCAGACTTTTCTTAGGTGTGCTCTTTCTAATTTATCAGGTAGTCACTCTTACAATTGAATCCAAGTGTGTCGAGAACACACCATGGTTAGATTGATTACTAAAGTAAAGAAAAATACACAGATGAAAATAAAGTTGTCTGTGACCATGCAATTTGTGTTTGTAGTTTAAGTTTATTATTAGAGTTAGGACACCTCTTAGGTAGAGCTCTCATAAAAATAAATAAATAAAATTTGTATGTGAGATAGTGGAATTTTTTTTATATTATCTGTGTACCCCAACCCCTAGTAGCCTTTGATGAGATCTCTCCTACAACCCCCCCTCCTCTTCCCCATTCTTCTTCTTCACTCTTTCTTTTTCTCTAATATATTTTGTTTCTAAAAGTAATGGTCTTGATGTTTTGTTGTTTGTATTGTTAGTGTCATATCGATTCACTTGAAAAAAATACTCAAGGCCAAGATGGTAGTTTTGTGTCCTTAGCTAAATGGAGGATCTTGAATTGACTGCATGATAGGAATGAGACTTTATACTACCGAGTATGTTTGGTAGCGATTATCAGCTTGTAAACAACAAGTGATTTAAGAATTAATTATAATTTCTCTTTAGCTAGAGAGAAATAATTTGAAGTAATGACGCATTGCTGTTGTTTTTCTCTCCATGTCCTTATCGATAACATTGAAGATTTTGCTCCAATAATATATAGTCCTACAGTAGGATTGGTTTGCCAAAACTATTCAGGGTTGTTCAGATGGCACGGGGAATGTACTTCAGTGCAAAAGATAAAGGAGAGATGATGTCCATGATCTATAACTGGCCTGGTCATCTGGTATTTTGGAAATCTAAAATGCATTAATGTATAGTTTTGTTCTCTTTATTGCTTTTACCTACTTGTTGGTGATACATTAAGAGTGTCAGCCTCAGTTACATTTGCCTAAGCTAGATACAGGACAGACAGCAGCCGTATGAGCTGCAACTTCAGTTGTAGCATGCTGCAGCTTCAGTTGTAGTATGCTGCAGCTCATCAGATCAGTCACAGCTTGAAGGTTGTTAGTTTGTTAGAACCAGAGTTAGATAGTAGTTATGGTTACGTTAAGTAGTTAGGAGTTACGGTTAAGACAGTGTATCATTTCTATAAATCATTGTAAATCTATCTGTAGAAGGTATGGAAAATTGAGATCAAACTTTCTTTTTGGTATCAGAGCTCTGAGCTCCTACGAGCAGAGATCCTTGGAGATCCTTCTATGGCTACTCCAAACCCTATACCTCCATTAACCTCCATGGATACATCTTCAAGTTTTTCTTTACTTGCAAATCTTACACTATTGATGGTACCACAGTATGTCCCTCATTTGTTCTTCTTGATTCTAGCAATCAAGAAGTTTTGAATCCAGCTTATACACAGTGGATCACCATTGATTCTCATCTGTTGAGTTGTATCACTGCTACATTGTCTCCATCTATATACACATCTGTCATTCATTGTCAGACCAGCACTGAGGTCTGGTCTGTTCTTGCCAAGAGGTTTACATCTCTTTCTAGGTCTCACATTCATCAATTGAAGAATAAGCTCAGTTGTATTGTTAAAAAAGGCTCAACAATGGAGGATTACTTGAGTCAATTTAAATCCATTTCAGATCAACTTGCTCTGGCTTCATCACCAGTAGATGATGAAGATTTGGTTCTCTTAGTTCTTAATGGTTTACCAGACTAATATAATGCTTTCAAGACTACCCCTAGGGCTCGATCTGATCCTATTTCCATGGAAGCTTTGTCTTCCTTGCTGTGTTCTGAGGCCATTCATGTGGAGTCTTCACTCAAACAATCTCATACCTCCGAGATTTCTTTTGCTTATGCTGCAACCAGAGGTAACTATAGAGGAGGTCACAGAGGTTCTTTTCAAGGCAGAGGTTCCTCCAATTTTTCCAGAGGTTCAGAGAGTGGTGGTAGGTTTCGAGGCAGTTCTCAGCATGGCGGTTCCTTCAGAGGCAGTCAATATCACAGAAGTAGGTCCACTCCTAATCCTAATGCCATGATCTGTCAGATCTGTGGAAAGCTGAACCACTCTGCCCTAGATTGCTGGTACAGAATGGACTCATCATTTCAGACTAGTCCACATCATTCCTCTTCTATTTATATGTCTTCTTCTACACATCAAAGCTCTCCTACAGCCTATGTTGCTTCTGCCTCATCCTCGTCTGTAGCCTCAGCCCCTTCTTCCTCTTCCAACTGGTTTCTTGACTCTGCTGCAACTAGTCATATGACTAATGATCTCACTAATCTCTCCTATTATCAACCTTATTCCGGGCCAGATCAAGTTGCTATTGGTGATGGCAACACTCTACCTATCACTCACACTGGTAATGGTCTCTTTCCCACACCTAAATTTCCTTTTTATCTTCACAGCATTCTTCATGTTCCTTCTATCTCTTCCAATTTGGTTTCAATTCATCAATTAGCTAAGGACAACAACTGTTCTGTTACTTTTGATGCCCATTCTTTTCTGATCCAAGACAAGACTACTCAGACGGTGCTGTATAGAGGTCCTTATGCTGATGGCCTCTATCCTCTTTCTACATCATCTTCTTCTGCATCATCTTCTTCACCAGCTTGCCTCTCCTGTACAAGGTAGCCTGCTGCTCCAAACTGGCATTTTCGACTAGGCCATCCTTCTTCTCAGAAGTTTCATCATGTTATGACTCAAAATAAATTCATGACTTCATCTTCTGTACATAGTCCTAATAGCTCTACTTTGTGTGAACATTGTCGTGTGTCTAAGAGTCACAGGTTACCTTTTTGCTTGTCTAATTCTACTGTTGACAAGCCCTTAGCCCTTATTCACACTGATGTTTGGGGTCCTTTTTCTGCCTCTTGTTCTGGATATAAGTACTATGTTCTCTTCATTTATAATTTTAGCAAGTTCACTTGGATTTTTCCTCTCCATTACAAAAGTGAAGTTTTTGCCAAATTTTTGGAATTTAAGGCATTTGTTGAAACACAATTTACTATTCACCTATAGGTTTTGAGGAGTGATAATGGGGGTGAATATCTTAGTCTTCTTTTCAAAATTTTCTCAAACAAAAAGGCATTTCTTACCAGTTAACATGTCCTCATACACCTGCTCAAAATGGTGTAGCAGAAAGAAAACACAGACATTTAATTGAAACCACTATCACTCTCATGCATCATTCTTCCATGCCCTTGATTTACTGGTTTGACGCTCTTGCTACTGCAATCTTCTTGATAAATAGATTACCTACTCTTAAACTGAAAAATCATACTCCATTTGAAGTTTTATTTCTTCACAAACCAGATTATCAGTTGTAAGAGTCTTTGGTTACAGGTGTTATCCTTGGCTTAGGCCTTACTCTTCTCATAAGCTCCAACCTATATCTATCCCTTGTGTATTTCTAAGCTACCAACCATCTACTAAGGGCTATACATGTCTTGACCCTCTCACTCAGAAAGTCTATGTGTCTAGACATGTTGTGTTTGATGAGTCTAAGTTTCCTTTTCAGATGGCTTCATCTAGCTCTTCTTCTTTATCTGATCTTCTACTTTAGTTCATTTTTTCTGGTCTTCTTCTCCTCAGTCTACTTCATCTTCTGCTTCTTCTCAGACTGCTTTTCCTATACCTGCTTCTTCTGCTCCTATCTCTGCTTCTTCTCCATCTCAAATTTCCTCTCCATCAGATCTTCCTATTGCTCCTTTTCCTCCTCTCTCTGTAGCAGTACCTTCTATATCTGTAGCAGCTCCTCCTATCTCTGTAGCAGCTCCATCTCCCTTATCTGCTCCTGCTCCTGCTCCTTCTCAGGTGCCTCCAGTGCCTATTTCTTCTCTCTATATCGATCTTCCTCCACTACCTTCTTCTCATACTCATTCCATGATCACTAGGTCTAAGAGTAAGTGCCCTGCTGCTCCTTTTTCTTCTTCTCTTTGTCTTATTGCTTCTATAGCTTCTCTAGATCACTGTGAGCCAGAGACCTATCAAGCAGCTGCTCAGTCTCCAGCTTGGCAAGCTGCCATGTTAGATGAATATCAAGCCATCTCCTCAACTGCTGCTTAAGTCTCCCATGCCACAGCTGCAGCCTCAGTTACATTTAACTAAGCTAGATACAGGACAGACAGCAGCCGTATGAGCTGCAGCTTCAGTTGTAGTATGCTGCAGCTCATCAGATCAGCCAGAGCTTGAAGGTTGTTAGTTTGTTAGAACCAAAGTTAGATAGTAGTTATGGTTAGGTTAAGTAGTTAGGAGTTATGGTTAAGAGATTGTATCATTTCTATAAATCATTGTAAATCTATCTGTAGAAGGTATGGAAAATTGAGATCAAACTTTCTTTACTTTGTACTTGTACTAGATCAGATGGTAAACAAAGCAAGGTATAAAAATGTGTTCAGTGTAGCATTATTGTTTGCTGTGAATAATGAATATATGCATTACAAAATGAGCACATTTGCTCGCTTAGAAATGAAAATTGGTTCAGCACTCCTTGCAGCTTAAAGGTTATGTTCATCATTGCACTTGACATATCATGGGTATACGGCTTCTTCTGTATTGCAGGTTGACATGATTGTCCTGACTGATGGTAGTTGCATTCTTGGTCTAGGTGATCTTGGGGTCCAGGGAACTGGAATACCCATTGAAAAACTTGATATGTATGTCGCTGCTGCTGGAATCAATCCACAGAGAGTATGCTCTACTCATCTCTCTTAATTATGTACAGTTTCATGTAGGCATAGCACAAACAGATGTACACCAAAATAAATTTGGTATACTAGTGTGTGTCAATGCATAAACACCTGTGCACACTGACAAGTAAATACACACATTTAGTACTGGGCTGACTCACAGATGCTTACCATGCTTGATATGGATCATAGCACATTGTTATTGCATGTATCATGCTTATTGAAGGTTACCTATGCTTGCTTATATGTTGGTTATGTTGTTATATTTTCATGCTTTGCAAAACATATTTCTATTGGCTATTTTTCATCAATGTGGATATTATATTGATGAAAGTGCATATATATGAGATAGAAGGTTAGATGCATGGAGAACTGACAGTAATTTCTCGTCCACCTGATCTCAAAGATACTAGTAACTATGATATTTATTATCTTATATTATATATCCAGTTTTGGATTAACTGTTTACCCTTTCATTCTGCTTTCTTCTATACCAATCTAGCTGTGTTCATCTATGACAGATACTTCCAGTTATGCTTGATGTTGGTACCAACAATCAAAGGCTTCTTGAACACCATCTTTCTATTGACTGTCTGCTGTTTATTTTATGTTCAGTGGTTCCTTTTCTTTATTTAATATTTTATTGTTTCTATTATTTCATACTTAATAGAAGTTTAAAGGCTGCATTTTTGGGACTGAATATATTCAATCAGATCTCTTGCTCTTTAACATAATTGATTATTATCTCTCTTACAGACTGTAATAGGCCTTAAATACTGCATGCCTCTCTCTCTCTCTCTCTCTCTTCACACATGCAGAGAGGAGAGGTGAAGTTGCTTTGTGCTAATTAAAGTTTCATGCATCTCCTTCATTTGGTTGTCTGCTTTCTCAATATCTGTAATTATTTTGGCATCATTTACACATGTTTTAAGCAACATGCTTGTTCCCTTGTAAATATAATATTATCTACCTTATACAATAGAAGTGTTTTGCTGATGGAGATATACATGTTCATATCTGATCATTCTGAGAACTCCATAAAACTTAGAAAAATCTTCTCAGTGGAATATTCTTGTCAAATGAAGTTGCTGTGAGCCTGGACCAGTATTTGTTGTCATCTTTTGAGGGTACTACGCAAATGAACTATGACAATTAGACTATAAAGCTTCATTGGTGCTGATTATGTAATATACGTAAATAAAATTACCCTGGTTGAGCAATGTACTTGAGACAAAGTGACTAGGATAGCATAGGATCGTTTTTGTTTATTAAGCAATAGAAAAATATGGATTGATCTAATGCATCCCAAAAATTACTCAAAATTTGATCGTCAGGCAACCTGTCCTGGGCCATATTTGACTGTCTTAGTGTGACTTTATATTAAAAATTATGATGTAGGAATGTTTAGTGACTTTGAAATGGGTTTTGGCAGAACTGCTAAAGTCCTTGCTGATGAAAGCAACAATACAAATTTTTTTGAAAAAGATTATATAATCAAACTAATATAGAAGTGGATGTAGCACCTTATATATTTTTCATTTCTCTTAACTTAAATTCAACTAGAAGACATTGAATCTTGATAGAATTAAGCACTTCATTTTGTGAGAGTGCTAATTGCAGATCCAGAGGTGCTTTCGAAAGATAATCATAATTAATACTTAGAATCAACTTTAACATGGATAAAACTTCTAAGATTAATTATTTAATATTACTCTTTATGGTGTGAATTCAGATTTAGATCCAACAGAACTTGAAGTTAAAGTCTAACAAAACTAGACATGTAAATAAGAATCACCTCATTAGGTATGTACCTGCATATATATCTTTGTTTTTGGGATGACCTTACCTAGACAAACTAGAAACGAAAATACACTGAAAGTAGAAACCACAGAATTATGGAAACAATCTGATTGTACATAAGTATACATATAATGCCCAAGAGTGTCTAGTTATTACAACCAAATTATTATCATTCAAATGGTGTTGTATATTATTTATCAAAAAATAAAATAAAATAAATGGAGTTGTATAAAAAGGCTATACTTCCATGTGTTGTAATATTGATTTCCATTTAAATTCCATCATCACGAAGGTTTCAACCCTAATCTTTTCTTGTTTACAATTGTTTCTTGTCAATTATTTTCATATTTTTCTCATTTTATAAGAAAGACATCATGAACCTCTCAGATTTGAAAATAGTGACTATTTACTTGTATGAAGTAGGATTTCCCTTGTTAAATTTCATTACTAACACCTTAGGTTGGACTTCCAACAATTTTAAACATTGAAGTTCATTAATGTTTATCCATTCTTAACATTCATTTATGCTGAATATACTCTATTTCGTTCTCCATATTTTCTAGTCTTTAAGCAGAGTAAGTAGACTACGTAACTGGTTGTAAACCCATTTTTTCCAACAAACTTCATGAGGATTTATTTTTCACTTGATTTTACTTTGACAGATTTGGGACTTCAGCACCCTCGGTTGGAAGGAGAGGAGTATCTATCAATTGTTGATGAATTTATGGAGGCAATTCACGCCCGTCGGCCCAAGGCTATTGTGTAGGTTTAATTCTTTCAGAAATATGACATCTTGTTTGATGTGTAACCAATATCATACTGATTACTTGATGCTTGGCGAATATTATCAGTTTGTGGATTTTCAAATGAAGTGGGCTTTTGAAAGACTGCAACGGTATCAAAAAAGGTTCTGCATGTTCAATGATGACATGCAGGTGAATACTTGGTGTTGTATTCTGCTATTCTCCATGGAAATAGTAAAGAATATAATAAGACAAAGTACTTAAAGATTGTTAAGGGTGACTCTATTATAATGACATTTTTGTCGCTTGCCATCATGTTGTATAGGGAACTGCTGGTGTTGGACTGGCAGGACTGCTTGGAACCGTAAGGGCACAAGGTCGACCATTGACTGACTTTGTGAACCAAAAGATAGTTGTAGTTGGAGCTGGAAGGTACTGATGAAGTTCAACCGTAATGGCTGTACTTCTGGTTTAAGTGTTACTTCTTTATGGTTCAAGGTGGTTGGTAAATCGGCTGTGAGTTGCATCTTCTTATTCTTTTTTCTGTCTTTCAATGCAGGGCTTGGTGTTTTTAACATGGCTGCACAGGCTATTTCAAGAATGGCAGGAGCTGAAGCAAGTCCTCAGTTTTTCCTACTTGATGAAGATGTGTGGTTCTACAGATATTACTTGCTATCTAACGTTTTTGTTCTTAATGTCAATTACCGTATTAGCCTTTATTGTGTGTTACTGGGTATTTATCTTCTAATAAAATGTGGAGAACATATGTTTGAACATATTTGTAAAGAAGGAGATTTTTTGAATTTTTTTTTAGTGTTATCAACTGAATTTCACCTTTTTTTCAAAGTAATGATAATCAATTACTTATCTGCATGTAACTGAATGAACGGTGGGAATGAATCTGCATTGGATTGAGAAGAAAAACTCATAATATGGCAATCTGAACTTTGTCGTTTCATTTACATTTTCAGAGAATCATCCATTTGACTTTTGGTTCATCTTTTTTTGAGAAGTACTGGTTTAAATGCAGGGTCTCATTACAACAGAAAGGAAGGGTGCTGGTCCAGCAGCTGCACCATTTGCTAAAGCCCCTGGGGAGATCAAGGGTTTGGGCCTTAGAGAGGGAGCAAATCTCGTTGAAGTGGTAAATGTTACTGGAGTGTTTTTTGGCAGCTTATTTAAGTTGATGCAAGGCTGATATAGATTGATATTGTGTGGAAAAGAAACCTTTGGTTGTTTAGCTTGCTTCTTGGGTACATGCAATTGTCTCAAGGATGTTTGCTGTTATCTTTCAGAACATTATGTATGCTTTCATAATTTAGAAAAACTAATTGCAGGGAATGGATTTTGTTTAGGTTAAAAGAGTGAAGCCTCGTGTGCTTCTTGGTTTGTCTGGAGTTGGAGGTATCTTCAATGAGCAGGTGGGCAGCCCCCTAGGTTTGTTTTGCCCTTCATTACTTTCAAATGAAGCATAATGAACCAGTGAAGTTTGCTTAGTTTTATTTGGAAAGGCATGTTGGTTCTGTACTATTTATTTGGTTAGTTGTTGATAAATGATATTAGTTGGGGAAAATACATTAACATTCCCCCTCCGGAACTCCTTTGCTTTGCAAGTTTGTTTGTTCTTGTTTCCTAGATGTAGGCAATACCTTTTAGAGATAGTCTTTGTTAACCCTTTTATCATTTTATTTTTTCCCAACTTTTGCTAAATAATCAAATTCTTACAAAAAACTTACAATTATTTATTACTAGGATAAAGGAGCATACCTCATCAAGATGTCATTTGTTGGTATCACTATTAGTTAAATCCACTTGGCTCAACTCAACAAAGACCTAATTTCAACCTCTTGGAATTGACTACATGAATATTTTCCCAAAATGCTCTCTATAGAACAATACCTCAGTTAAATCCATGGCAATTACATTCTTTGTTACTGTATCAACCCTCGTTCTTTTTTAATTATCTTCTTGTGTTTAACGACACTTTGTTTACTCTACTTTTGTGGGTGTTTTTTCCTCAATTTACTAATCATTTCATGCACAATTTTGGCTTTTTTTTATAATTAAATTACCATTGCTGTATAGGTAGATCTCGTTCTGAAATACCTACTACTTGATAAGTAACTATGGCTGGCTATGTTTGAAAAACCATTCTCCACTTAGTGTCTAGCTGCAAGGCACTAAGCACAACAATGGCAAAGTGTATCCTCTTTTTGAGATTGGTAAAGCGTATGTCTTCTTTGATAAATCAGGTGCTTAAGGCCATGCGAGAGTCAGATTCCCCTAAACTTGCCATTTTTGCGATGTCAAATCTGACGGTGAATGGTTCGTCTTTCAAGCCTTCTAAATTATCTATTTTTTATTTGTGGATGCACTATTTTTCTATTGAACATTGTCTTTTCATGTTAACTGGAACAGCTGAATGCACTGTAGTTGATGCTTTCAATCATGGTGGAGAAAATATAGGGCTTGTTTGGTTTGTATCTCAAGATACAATTTTTGAGAAAAATATTTAAAATTTTGTTTGATTCAAATTTTTTGAATTTTTTTTTCAAAATCACTCTCTCTCTCCTACACATCAGTCAATCACATTTCTCTCTCCTCTCTCATTCTCAATCACTTTTTCTCTCACACACATCTATTCAACTACAACAAAATATCAAATCATCCCAAACTCCCAAACTCCAAAATTATTTTCAAAATATCCAGCCAAACAAATCAAAAAAATTTCCAAACTCTCTCTCCAAATTTTTTTTTTTGAAAATTTATCTCAAAAATGTTGACCTTGGTATGATTTCTTTATATTGGTGCTAATTGTTGTGGAGTCTTTTTGCACAGTATCAATAAATTAATTGGTCTCACTCTGCTCTCTCATTATGTAGCCAATGCAACCAACAGTTCTATAGTTTCTATATTCCTGTCTTCCTCAGTGTGTTGTCCAATTACTCTGACCTTTGCCAATCATATACTTGTTGTCAGGGAATGGAAAAGTGGGTCATGTAAATCAAGCAAATAACATGTATCTGTTTCCTGGGTTAGTGCTAATGTTCAAAACTGAAATAACGTAAAAGTGATTCCAAATCACTAAAATAGCCAAGATAGTGCATGCTAATGACTCACACACCCGATGCCAACATGCTAGAATGCAAAGGGGTTCTACAAATTATGAAATGCATGACCAAATCAACACCAATAGACCTCAAGCATGGCAAAATATGACTAAAAGCTTCACAAAGTTAGGCAAAAATATGCAAGCATGATGTGTCTAATGGCAAGATGCATTTCTAGGCAAAATGGGGATACAAAGCAAGTGTATTAAGCATGAGAGGGGCCATTAATCCGACTAAAAATAGAGGCATATTATAACTAATGACACCCAAAACCTTTGAAATGGTGCCAAAGACAACTAATCATGCATGCTACCCTTATGAGCAAAAAATGCAAACAAAAGAGAGACAAAGGGAGAGGGGTGTCCCTCCCCTAATGCAAGAATTCAAACCCCCTTCTTCACCACTGAAAATCACTAGATTTTAGTGGTGAGAAGGCCAATACACCAAAGTAACCAAAGCTTAACAATGGAGGCACAAAAAGGGCTAAACAAGGCTTAGAGGGGAGGTCGACCCCCACACACAAAAACAACCTTAATGAAGTATCTTAAGCATGCAAATACAAGACTTTTTTAGTTATACACAAATTCTAAATCAGTAAGCAAGATAGGTTAAAGACTAGGTGCAAGATTGAAGAATCTAAAGCAAAAGTGTTTACCGTTGAAGAACACCTCCAAGAACAGCAAGCTCAGGCCCCTTCGTCTAATCAAAACCAACCCAAAACCTCAAGAACAAACTCTCAAAGCCTCCAAAGTCGAAGTGTGGTGTAATAGTAGGTGACTTAGTGCAAAACTAAGGTCAAAACACACTTTTGGGGCTCTAACACACACAAAATAGGAGAGAGAGGAAGATGTAGAGAGAGAATGTGATATATATCAGAATATATATGTAGCTCTGGTTTTTTGCTCAACCCCTGCAAAGGAGAGGGGAGGTCTCCTATATAGACAATGGAAAGGCTAAGCTTTCCAAGAGAAGCCAACAAAGGGGTCAAGGCTTCCTAAAGAAGCCAAGGCAAAGGGGCCAAGGCTTTCCTTAGGAAGCTGGGACAGGTGTCCAAGCTTCTTGAGGAAGCTAAGACACAAGGTCCAAGCTTCCTCAAGAAGCTAGACCAAAAAGGTTCAAAAGAGGCAAAACAGCCACAACTCATGCATGGGGAGAAGGGTTCGTACATTCCAGCTAGCACAGCTGGCTGGCACCATGCCTGAAAAGGCAAAAAATGTGGCACCGGCCAGAAAAGGAGGCCATCGGCCAAACAGATGGTCGGCCGACCACCACTAAGTGCCGACCGGCCAATGGTATATTTAACAATGGGCGTAGCCTCAAAACACAACCGGTGGCCTCAAGCCATGGCCGTGGGTATTAGGGGTAGCTATCAAGCTACTCTCTACCCTTAAGTGTAAAAAAGAAACAAGTCCTTGGTGTAAAACCTAGACAGAACAAGCAAGTCGAGAGATCCTGAGGCAAGCGGCGTAGCCAAGACCTCCGGGAACTCAAAAACAATACGAACATGGATGATCACCGAGTATTCAAGCGGTGACGTCCAAGTCTTGAGGACGGTCAAAAATGGGTGTCTACAGTTGCCCCTCTTTGATAGAACTTGAAGTCATAAAGAATGACGGAGTGAATGTCAAAGCCCAGAGACGACCCATTTTTGACATGGTCGAAGACTTAGACAAAGCATGCAAGACAATAAAGATATGCGCCCGAAGGTAGGGCGAAATGCAATCGAAAATGCAAGAAGCCGAACATAACTTTTTGATCATACAAAGAAAGCTGTAACGAAGCACAACAACATGCGTCAGTTTTATTGCTAGCAAACACAAATCCAACTACACTACAATGCAGAAAGGATGTAAGACAATTATGTAATTCTCGCTACGTTTTACGCGAAGGATACAATACCTGTGCGGCTCGTCGTTGGTCGCACCAGCTTTCGAATGAACCGTACATACAATTATCGTGCCTGAAAGAGAAAGAAAACTCAATAGGTACCATAATTATTAGCAACATGCATGACAATGCAGTTTGAAAGTTCTTGACAACGCAAATCGAGTGGGAAGCATAACGATGTGACTGGAGGCAGCATAACAACGCTATGAAGGCCTAAAACACATGTAAGTAAAGAAAACATCACAACGTGTAGCAATGTATATAAAACGAACTGAACACATGTAAGTAAAGCGATGCAACAACGCATGCAATGTGTATAAAGAGGAACTTGAACACATGTTAAGTAAGCGATGCGACAACGCATGCAATGTGGTATAGAAACTTGAACACATGTAAAAACATAACACGAAAACGTATGCAATGTGTATAAAGTGAACTTGAACACATGTAAGTAAAGCGATGCGACAATGCATGCAATGTTTATAGAAACTTGAACCGTGTAAGTAAATCATAAGCGGCAACGTATGCAATGTGTATAAAGAGGAACTTGAACACATGTAAGTAAAGCGATGCAACAAATGCATGCAATGTTGTATAGAAAGGAACTTGAACACAAGTAAGTAAAGCGATGAGACAATTGCATGCAATGTGTATAGAAACTTGAACACATATAAGTAAAGCAATGCGACAACGCATGTAATGTGTATAGAAACTTTGAATAGGCCGATTCAATTCGAAGCATTGTAAAGACATGTTATTCATGAAATTTTGAATGCAAAGCCACGTGCAACATAGTATAATTGAAGCGATTTGTGGAATTCACAAGATACGAAAAGGATACGGGAAGGGGACATTCCTCGCATGCACGAGCATGCTTCATAGAAGAAATGCGGCTTGAGGGTCACTCGAAGGCCTACTAATGTTCCGAAAGTGCACTTCCTTGCACTGTCTTGAGTAATGAAGGTGCCAAGCCGCATAGTTGACCGAACAAGGGCGCGGGAGGGTATTGGCCGCAAGGCGAGGTTACCGGTTTTCAATTCCGATACTCTGCTGTCCTGCCCTTCTTTTG